TCTGCATTTCTGAAGATACCTTTATCTATGCTGATACTTGGTTGATCCTATGCAGATGATGGAATTCTAGGTTGGAAATATTTTTCCCTCAGGATTTGGAAGGCAATGTTCCATTTACTTTTGTCTTCATTACAGTTGTTGAGAAGTTCAAGTTCAGAAAGTTCATTCCTGATCTCATAAATGATCTGTGAGCCATTTGATCCCTTTGTCTTTTTTTTTTTTTTTTTAGAATCATACTATTCCTACAGGTGTGACATTTCATGATAACCTATCTTGATGTGAGTCTGTTATATCCTATTTTGCTGGGGATTAGGTAAATCCTTTCAAACTGGAAACTCGTGTTGTTCAGTTCTGAGAAATCTCCCAGATTATATTCCTGTTGCCAAAGAATGAAAAACCAAATCGCATGTGATTTAGGGCTGAGTACAACCCATTTCTTGCTTAGTATTTTCTGGGGTCATCTTTGCTTGTTTTCTTTGAGTTTAATTCTTGCCTTTTCATTAAAGCACTTTTAAAGATCTTTTATTATGGAAAATTTCAGGCATATACAAAAGCAGAGAGAATGGTATGAAGAATCTCCCACACCCACACACAGCTTCATCAGTCATCAGTATGTGGCTAATTTTATTTCACTTGTACCTTCTACTCTGACCTTCAGTGTAGATATTATATAATTTTACCCATAAATACGTTTCTATGTATCTCAAGAAATAAGGCCTTTGAAAAAAACATAATCACAATACTGTTAAAATACCTAAAAAAATGAACAATTCTTTAATGTTACATAACATGCAGTTAGTATTCACATTTCTCGGATTAGCCTGTAAATGCCATTTTATAATTGGTTTTACAAATCAGGATCCAGACAGGGTTTATGCGTTGTAATTGTTGATATCTTTAATCATTTGTTGAAGAAACAGAGTAATTTGTCCTATAGAATTCCTCACATTCTGGATTTGTTGATTGCATGCTGTAATGTTTAACTTTCATTCTATCCCTGTATTTCTTGTAGTGCTATTATCAGACTCAAGTTCAGTTTTAGGGGGCAATACTCTTTTGTAAGTAATGGGGTATATTTCCTTTTGTATTACATAGATGATGTCTGGTTATTCACTTTGTGTGATTTTTGAGATTGATCATGTGCACATTAGCCAGTCTATAAGCAGTACAATTGATTTTGTATATTAATCTTTTATCCTGTAATCTTGATGAGTTTACTTACTAGTTGTAGCAACTTTATTTATTTATTTATTTATTTATTTATTTATTTATTTGACAGAGAGACATAGCGAGAGAGGGAACACAAGCAGGGGGAGTGGAAAAAGGAGAAGCAAGCTTCCTGCTGAGCAGGGAGCCCGATGCGGGGCTCGATCCCAGAACCTTGGGATCATGACCTGAAATGAAGGCAGACGCTTAATGACTGAGCCACCCAGGTGCCCCATCAACTTTTTAAAAAATATTTCCTCAGGACTTTCTACATATATGATCATGTTATCTGTGAATAAAATTTTTATGTTTCCTTTCCAGTCTGTGCCTTTTATTTCTTTTTCTTGTCTCATCAAAGTGGTTGGAATCCCAGTCAGTGTTGAATAGAAATGGTAAAAGTAGACATCTTTGCTTGTGTCCCAGTCTTGGGAGGAATGTGTTCAGTCTTTTACCAATATGGTGTTAAGCTATAGGTTTTTCTTAGATGCCTTTTATCAGGTTGTGGAAGTTCTCTTCTGTTCCTAGTTTTCTGAGAATCTTTCTCGTAGATGAGAAAGTGCTTTTTTTCTGCATTTAATGAAATGATATATATATATTTTTAAGATTGTTAATATGGTGAATTGCATTGATCAAATGCAAACATTGAAACAGCCTGGTATTCCTGGGCTAACCTGTACTTAGTCATGCTCTGTTACCTTCTTTATATATTGTGGCTTTGACTTGCTCAAATTCCGTTAATTTTCGAGTTTGTGTTTATGAGGTTTATTGTTCTTTGGTTTTCTGACAACTTTTCTTTTGTTCTTGTTTGGCATTGGGGTCATGCTGGCCTAATGAAAGGAATTGGGAACTGTACTTTCCTCTTCAGTCTCCTGGAAGAATTTGTGTAGAATTGGTATTGCCTCACTGTCTTCTTTTTGGCATTGTTTCCAGTGAGAAATCTGATATTATTCTTAATCTTTGTTCTTCTGTACATGTCTTTTTTCTTCTGATTTTAAGATTTTCTCTTTTTCACTGATTTTGAATAATTTTATTATGATGCATCTTATAGTTTTCTTTGTGTTTCTTGTACTTGAGGTTCTCTGAGTGTCTTGAATCTTTTGATGTAATTTTTGGAAAATTTCAGCCATAATTTTTTCAAAATTTTTTCTGCCCACCTCCCTTGGGGGTCCATTTTCATGTATTTTGGTCCCTTGGTGTTTCATTTTGGATAATTTCTAAGGCTGTGCCTTCATATACACTGTTCTTTTTTCTGTGATGTCTGAATTGCTGTTAATCCCATCTAGGGTATTTTTCAGCTCAGACAATTAGAAAATATCTTTAAAGTTCAATTTGGGTCTTTTTAATATTTTCTATGTTTTTACTTAACAGGCTCATGCTTTTTTCTACCGCTTGAACGTGTGGAGTATAGTTACAGTAAATTGTCCTGATGTCTCTGTCTACTGATTATAGGTAGCATCTCTGTCATTTCTGACTCAGTATGAACTGATTGGTTTTGTTGGTTTTTATTTTGCCCCTAGTCATGGGTCATGTTTTCCCGTTTCTTATATCCCTGGTACTACTTGATTCAGTGCTGGCCCAGTGTCCATTTTACCTTCTTGTATCCTGTGTAGTTTTTATTCCTTTACATATTTTTGAGCTTTGTTCTGGAACACAGTTGTTACTTGGCTATAGTTTGATACTCTTGAGCAGGATTTGGCACACTACAGGGCACAGGCCAACTCTAGTCATACCTGTTCATTTACATTGGGTTTGTAGTTCCTTTTGTGCTACAATCACAGAGTAGGTGTAACAGAGAAACCAGATGGCCTGGTAATAAATAGTGAGCTGATCCTGTACAGAAAAGGTTTGTTGTTCCTTGCTTTTGAAGGCTCACCTTTAGGCTTTTTGGCAAGACTAGAGCACCTTGAGGGGTAGAGCTAATTGCCCCCCCACCCCCACCCCCGAGTTAGTTACCCTCTTCAGCACCGTACCTGATGCTTGTGCTTTCTGAGGCTTCTCACTCGGGCACTTTGGTAGACAACCATTCTGTATCCTGTTGAGTGTCTGGCGATTGTCCTACCTGCTCCTTTCCAGTGCTTCTCTCCCTCGCTCTGGGTTCTTTCTTCACATGCACGTGCTGCTCAGTCGTCAGCGACCGACATGAGGGGAATCATGGCAAACCATGCAGCTCTTTCTCAGTGTCCTGTCCAGAAAGGCCTGTGGGCCGCATGTATGTATTCTCCAGTACTCGGCCCTGTGAATTCTAGCCGCCCTTGCCTCCACCACTTCTCAGCTCTGCCTCATCAGATCGTTGAGCTGTGTTTGGGTTCTCCGAGCCCTGGTAACTGGCTCTCCACAGGCAGTAAACTGGGCAGGTGTAGACTCCCTCATCTGGTCCCTTCTCTCATTCACTGTTGGGCTTCTGGTTGTCCATTATGTTACTTTGTCTGTTTAAAAAAATTTTTGAGGGCCAGGATGGTAAATCTAGTCTCTGTGACTCTATCATGGCTGGATATGGAGGTCTTCGACCCTTAGCATTTAATAACGAAAGGTAAATTCGGTATTTCTGTTGCTGGAGAATGTCCTGGTTCTTTCTACTGCATTTCATGTCTCCTAAGACATGAAATGTCTTAGGCCCTTTTCTCTACTGACATTCTTACTTTGAATTACTATAAAATTTCCCCTGATACCGCTTTCCCTTTTCTTCCCAGCCATAGATAAAGCTGTCAGAAGCACAGTTATCATGGAAATAGAAACATTTAAATTACTGGCACGATAAGCTTATTTCTTGCTGTAGCCATTCAGAATATCGATTTGTCACTGCCTTGGGTGCTTTGAAGTGAAGCTGTGCTTAGATATAAAAAGTTTTAAAACCCACTTTGATTCTCTGTGAAGTTCACAGTTTTTACAGTGCAGTTCTAGAGGTTAGTTCAGTTGAAACTCTGTGACTCTTCTTAAACTGTTAAGAATCCTTTAGTGCACTATTTGACATGCTTAGATTTAGACATTGCCGACCTGCTGTAGGCCTCAATATTGTTGTTTGTTTTTCTTTGGTTTTCTTACTCTGATTTCATATCTGGTACAGCATATACAATATCAGCAGTTTTAAAATAACGTACCTTGATTATTTTTTGTCTCTAATTATCTCTAATAAAATGAAAGGAGAAAAAAAAACCAAAGTGGTAACTTTGAAATCAGATAGGAGGATGACTTGAAAGAGATCAAATGGGCTCAGTATGGTTTTTTTTTTAAGGCTTTGGATATTGTCTTGCTTTTTTGGGGATGAGCTTTTTCAGAACTGCTTTCCTCAGTGCTGCTAAGAATAGAGGAACTTTGTAGGAACAGTTTTTCTTTTAGGAGGTAATTTCTTGCTAAGTATGCCATAAAAAATTGAAGAATGACCTTAATTTCTCATTTGAAAATGACTGTCACATTGAGCCAGACTATTTAACACTTCAAAGTTAGAAACACATGGATTTGTCAATAAATTTAAACGTGATAGTAGTCTCCATTACTACTAAGTTGTTTAAGTAATATATTATGTTCACATTTTAAATGGATATTGATCCTCATTCAGTGACTGAATTGGAGCATCTCAATTCTTATAAAATTGCTGATTCTTTTCTACTTTGTAGGTATGCAGCTGGACATAAATTCTAGCCAACATTCCACAGATTTTTTTTTTTACCTTGGCTTCTTTACATGGTACTCTTAAGGAAGTAATAGTACTTTGTGCATACTAAAAATAGCAAACAAATTGTCTTTAAAACCACAAACTTAAAATATATTACTTTGTGTTTAATTATGTCTTGAAGGTACTTGAAGTTTATTGCGTTGTCCCTGTCTCAGAGAAAGTTTTGTCAACAATGTCAGCAATTGCTGTTGCCAGATGATTGGGAGAAGCATCAGGAGCATCGAGTAGTAGGCGATATTTCTATCACCCAGTTGAAAAGGCCCAGTCAGCTTCTTTATCCATTGGAAAACAAGAAGACAAATGCCCAGTATTTGTTTGCTGATCGGAGCTGTCAGTTCTTGGTAGACCTACTTTCTACCCTTGGATTCACAAGAGTACTGTGTGTTGGAACACCAAGGTATGTTATATGATTTTTTAAAAAACTTCTATGCCCAGTATTTAAACTGTAAGAAAAAATTATCAAGTAGTTATTTACTATGTTCTGGGACATAGCGTTGCAGTTTTAGATATACAAGAGAAGTATAAAGCACCGTCCCTCTCTTGAGGAGTTTGTAATCTATATTACATTTGAGAGAAATCTTTATAGATTTCTGATATATGATAGGAGATTCCTTCTGATTTGATTTTTTAATTGCTTATAATTTTAGACTTCTCCTTTTCAAGCAAGTTCTACCTTTTAAAAAAATATTTAAAAAACTGAAACCTTGGTTATATCTGCCAAATTCTTTTCAGTGTTTCATTGAAATATTAGAAATACCAGGAGAACATTGATGGGGTTGTTTTTTTGTTTTTTTGGGTTTTTTTAAGATTTTATTTATTTATTTGAGAGAGAATGAGAGCCAGAGAGCACGAGAGGGAAGAGGGTCAGAGGGAGAAGCAGACTCCCCGCTGAGCAGGGAGCCTGATGTGGGACTCGATCCCGGGACTCCAGGATCATGACCTGAGCCGAAGGCAGTCGCTTAACCAACTGAGCCACCCAGGCGCCCGGGGTTGTTTTGGTTTATTTGCTTATTATCTGTGGCATTTGTAATTCCTTATTAAGTTTGCTTTCATTAATTGTTTTAGGTTGCATGAGCTGATCAGATTGAAAGCATCAGGTGAAAAGAAGTCTAACATTAAAAGCCTTTTATTGGATATTGATTTTAGGTAGGTTTATAAAGTATGATATTTATTCTTATTCGTTGTCTCCTGTTTCTGTTTAATGTTTTTCTCTTATTGTTTATTACCTATTACAATCCTTTAATGTTCAGAAGTAGTAATTGATTAGAAGCCATCTTTTTAGTCATATAAACTGCCCTTGTAATCTTCCATATTTCAAACAGGAAGGCAGTGGATTTCTTTTTTTTTTTTTTTTTCTTGCTGGGTGTGCTTCCTAAATTTTTTCAATGAATGTGTCTCATTGACTTGGGCTTGTAATTTAGAGATAAATTCTTACTGAATGAAATTTCTTCTCATACACTTATTTTTCAAAGATAAATTCCAGGATTTTATTTCATCATGATGTTTTAATATATTTACTTTAATATTTAATTAGTTAATTCATTTTAATTCATTTTATTTGTTCTCATTCTTTTAATAAATTTTATTTTAACACATTTTATTCATTGTAATTTATTTTAATATATTTTACCAGATGATGTGCATATTGTCTTTCACTGGATATAGCCTGAGGTCAAGGGAGTGCAACCAGGGAATAGACAGGTCTTACAGCAGCGGGTTAGCAAACAGATGGAGTCTCTGGGAGAGGGTCAGAATTAAATGGCATCTGACGTGTTGGGACAAACAGAGATGAGACTGTTGGAGGAGCACAAGTTGTGGTTCCCTTTAGGTGGTAATTTAGTAGCATATGTGTCCATCCACAGTCTCCGGGATCCTATAAACTTGGAGTAGTCTTACTACTTTCTGTAGTTGTTTGAATTCCACAGATTGTGGTGAGACTCTAAAACACTGTGTTGTTAGTATCTCTTACCGGTATATTGAAGGAGGCAGGTACTGTGTTTCCTTTTATTTAATCTGACAGGGTCTGTTTAGCCAATATTCCAGTATTTGTTGGAGAGAACCTATGAAATTACATGTGCTTTCTCTCTAAAAACAAGGTGGACAGATTTTTGAAGTGTAAAAAGTCACAACAAGAAGTACAGCTTTTATAATTTATTTTTTATTTTTTTCAGATTTCCAGGTCAACTTTAGGGTGTCTAGTAGAAGCAGCTACATTTCTCAGAAAGAAGCCACACTTTTTGTAGCCTTTCATTCCCTGTTAACAGGACTAGCACAGTTCACTAATCTCTGTTTAACATGAGTGATGCTTGGCACAACGGAATTCCAATGGTGATAATACAGACTTTTTAAAGAGAAACTCAATTTTTTTTCTTAAATTGAGATACAGTACCCTGAAAACCCACCAGGGTTTAAAAACCCATTAACGTGTATATGCCAGTGGTTTGCGGTATATTTGTTAAATCACCCCCATCTGGAACGTTTCTGTCACACTGAAAAGAAACCCTCTCCCTAATTCCCCCTGATGATCAGTGATCTGCTGTCGTCTCTGTGGGTCTGTCTGTCCTGTGTGTGTTCCATACATGGCATCCTGTCGTATGTGACCTCTGCTTGTGGCTTCTTTCACATATTGCTGTGTTCATCCAGCTCATGGCACGTAACAGTACTTTACTCCTTTTGTGGCTGTATTGACATTCCACTGAATAGATATATCAGATTCTTGTTTTACATTCCTTTCCTAAAGAATGACTGTTAAATTATTGTAAATGTATTATTTTAAAGGTAGAAGTTTAACTTTGGGGTTCTTATCGTAACAATACAAACAATAAATGGTGTTTGCATTGAGTGCTAGTCCCCTGTGAAACTCTGCTCTACCTCAGTCAGTCCTCACAAAAGCCTCCCCTGTACAGTAGGTGCTGTTACCCTCCTCATTTTCCAGACGAGAAAATCAAGTTACGAAAGAGGTGAAATAACTTGACCTCACAGTGATGAGTGGCCAAGTCAGGATTCAAACCCAGTCAGTGTGGCTCCAAAAATTAAGATACCCTCTGGAAGTAAATTTGCTTTTGAACTTGTATATAAGCCTTTTTTAATATAGCCCATTTCTCTGTTGTCGTCCTAACGTCTCTCCCTGTCTCTGTCTACCCCCGTGCCTATTCCATGAAGATTCACATGAGTCAATAACGGGTTTGCAGGTTATTCATATATTTAGAATAAGGCACTCCTTCATCAGGCACATTTCATTGGAGCCCTGGAAATCTGTTTATGTCAAAGAGGACGTATTGGCTCACATGATGAGCTTAGGATATAGCAGGCCTCAGTGCAGGCGAGGTCCTGGGCCTTGCGCATTGTTGTTTGGGCTCTGTCTTTCTCTCTCCACCTCTCGTTCTGTCTTTCTCTGGATTGGCTCTATGCTCCAGTTTACTTCATGCTCCCTGCCAAGGATTTTGGCAGCAGCAGCTTTCAGCTTCTGTAGTCTCAGCTTAACTGTCCAGGAGACATGGCTCTCTTTCCTGAGAGCCCCAGCAGCACAGCTCCTGGGAAGGACTGGCTTGATGGGGGCCATATGCCTGTTCCAGAACCACCTATGTGGCCTGGCAGGTAGGGTGCCCACATGTGGAGTGGGTTCACCAAAGGAAACCCCTCTCTGACCATAGGTGCATCACACACACACAAACACACACACACACACACACACAAGTCACATGTCCAAAACCGAATTATTTAACATAATGAGTCTTAGTTGTCGGTAGCACTCACCTTCCTCCTTTGGGACTTTCACCTCAGTGAAAATGCACAGTGTTATCTCATAGTATGGTTCTTTGAAGTTACCATACAATTTGTGTTCTGATTTCATTCAAGTCAAGCTTTTTCTAAGCTAGTTGTGGTGGACTGGTTTATACACAACCTAGAAAAAAATCAGTGATTCATCTTGACTTGTTCAAATTTCAAGGATCTCTGGTTTACTTTTTTTTTTTTTTTAAGCTTTTTAAAGAGACATGATCTTTAACTCTGTCACCCAAAACATTGTGGATGTTTTTTTTATGACCTTTTTTATGCATATAAACATTTTAAAAAGTAAGAATCAGATAGTCTTTTTTTCCCCACTATGTAGCAGGCATATTTTTGTCTTTTAAATTGAGACATATTTCACATAGAAAAAAGAGGTTTTTAGTATTATTCACAAAGTTGTGCAACCATCACCACTACGTAATTCCAAAACATTTCCATCATCTTTGATGGAGGTGTCTCCATCAAAGTGGTCCCAATTACTGACCTCCCCTCTTTTCTGAAACCCTCTCCCAGCCCTTGGCCACCACTAATCTATTTTCTGTCTATAGATTTGCTTATTCTGGATAGTTCATAAAAATGGACTCATACAGTATGTGGCCTTTAGTATCTAGCTTCTTTCATTTAGCATAGTATTTTCAAGGTTCATGATGTTATACCTTTTTATGGCTGAATAATACTCCATTATAAGGATATACCAAATTGTGTTTATCCATTCATCAGGTTATGGACATTTGTGTTGCTTCCACGTTTGGCTATTTTGAATAATGCAGCTGTGAACATTTGTGTGCAAGTTTTGTGTGAATGTAGGTTTTATTATCTCTTGGGTATTGTGTTAATTTGTTAGGGCTGCGATAACAAAAGAGCCATAGATTGGGTGACTTAAACAACAATAATTCATTGTCTTAGTTATGGTGGTTGGAAGTTCAAGATCAAGGTGTCAGTAGGTTTGGTGACTTCTAAGGCCTCTCTCCTTTGGTTGCAGTTGGCTTTTTTCTCGTGTTCTCACATGGTCTTTCCTCTGTGTGTGTACAACCCCGGTTTCTCTTTGTGGGTCCAGATTTCCTCTTTCATAAGGACACCAGTCATCTTGCATCACAGACTCCCCTAATAACCTCATTTTATTTTAATCACTGTTTTAAAAGCTCTGTCTCCAAATAGAGTCATGGTCTGAGATACTGGGGGCTAGGGATTCAATAGATTAATGTTGAAGGGTTACAGTTCAGCCCATAACAAGTATTTATCTTAGGACTGGAATTGCTGGGTTACGTGGTAACTGTACATTTAACTTCTTGAGGAACTGCTAAATTGTTTTTTAAGGTGACTACCATTTCACATTTCCACCAGCAATATATGGGTGTTCCAATTTCTCCATATTGTTGTCAGCTCTTGTTATTGTCTGTTTGTATTTTTAAATTATTTATTTAATTTTTTGAGAGAGAGCATGAGTGCACACAGGCAGGGGGAGAGGCAGAGGGAGATGGAGGGAGAGACTCTTAAGCAGGCCCCATGCCCAGCGTGGAGCCCAATGCAGGGCTTGATCTCACAACCCTGAGGTCATGACCCTGAGATCATGACCTGAGCTGAAATCAAAAGTCAGAGGCTTAACCGTCTGAACCACCCAGGTGCCTCTCTTGTCTGTCTTTCTAATGTGGTATCTCATTGTGATTTTGTTTTGTATTTTATTGATGGCTCATGATGCTGAGCATCTTCTCATGTGCTTATAGGCCATTTGTTTATCTTTTTGGAGAAGCATCTATTCAATCCTTTGCTCATTTTTTAATTGGTTATTTGTCTTTTTTTGTTGTTAAATTGAAAGAATAAATATATTCTGGATACTAGACCCTTACCAGATGTATGATTTATAAATACTTTCTACCTTTCTGTGGGCTGTCTTTTCACTTGATTATGTCCAGTTTTCCTCCTTTTTCTTTGGTTGCTCATGTTTTAGGTGTCATATCTTGCCAAGTTCAAGGTCGTGAATATTTACACTGTGCTTTCTTTGAACAGTTTTATGATTTTAGCTCTTACATTTAGGTCTTTGATGTGTTTTGAGTTATTTTTTTATATATGGTATGAGGTAGGGGTCCAAGACCTTCATTCTTTTGCATGTGACTATCCAGTTACCTCAGCACCATTTGTTGAAATGATTATTCTTCTCTCATTGAATTGTCTTGGTACCTTACTGAAAACCAAGTGGTCACAAATGTATGCATTTATTTTTAGACTCACAGTTCTTTTCATCTGATCTATGTTTATCCTTATGCCAGTTCCACACTGTCTTGATTACAGGTGTGAGTCTTCCAGCTCTATTCTTTTTCAAGATTGTTTTAGCTGTTGTGGGTTCCTTGAATTTCCATATGAATTTTAGGATTAGCTTGTCAAGTTCTACAAAAAAGCCAGCTGGAATTTTTATAGGGATTTTGCTGCATTTTTTTTTTTTTATCAGTTTGGGGAATAGTTTTAAATATTAAGTCTTCCAGTTCTTGAACATAAGAGGTCTTTCCATTTATTTAGGTCGTTTTTAATTTCTTTAAACAATATTTTGTAGTTTTCAATGTACAGATCTTGCATGTCTTCTGTTAACTTATTCCTAAATATTTTATTCTTTTTGTTGCTATTATACATTAAATTGTTTTTTTAAATTTCATTTTGTATTGTTCATTGCTAGTGTACTGATTTACTTTTTTAAAAAAATTGTGATGAAATACACATAGGTTAAAATTTACCATGTTAGTTATTCAAGTGTACAGTAGTGTTAAGTAAGTTAAATGCCTTCACACTGTTGGGTGCAACCATTCACCAGAACTCTTTTCATCATAGCTGAATTACTTTTAATTTGAAAGATTTACATAGACCCTTAACTCTTAATTTAAGCTATATGTCTTGTAGTTTTACCTTTCTTGGGCCTGTATATTGAAATCTCCTGCACAGAGTAGGGGATGTAGATAAAGTTATTTTGTAACTTATTGAATATACTGATATTTTTTTTCTTTTCATATCAATAAACTTCTGTGGATGTGTGGAAACAAAAACTGAAAGGGTTGTATTAGTTAGCTTAGCTTCTTTTATGCTGAGTCAGTTCTGTAAAAGGTTGACATTGGGTATTAAGAGAGAGTTCGTTGGGGCACCTGGGTGGCTCAGTCGGTTAAGCGTCCGCCTCTTGATTTCAGTTCAGGTCATAATCTCAGGGTGGTGAGACAACGCCCAGCGTTGGGCTCTGTGGTGGGTGTGGAGCCTGCTTGGGATTCTCTCTCCCTCTCCCACTGCTCTCCCTCCAAAAATTAAAAAAAAAAAAAAAAAAAAAAGAGAGAGAGCAAGAGAGTGAGCTCATTTATTGAAACACATTAGTGGCCAGAATCAACTGAGTCTGTTGTCCATACTCACGATATTATGGGGTATGGAGTTGGTTCAGATTTCTCACAAGGACCACAATTAAATCAGGAACAAGTTCCTATGTGAATAGAGTGACAGTGAGTAGTTAACTTTTGGCACTTTGACTTTGGTTTGTTGTTGCCCTACAAAAGGTCTGTCCAAGGCTTCAGAGAACTAACTACCTCAACTCCAGTGTTACACATGCTATAAATATCCTCTTCAGGGGGTCTAAAATATGAAGTTAACATTTGCTAAGATGGATTTTTATATGCTCTAATTTTAGCATGAAAGATGTGAAACTCTATTTGGCAAACTATCATCCAAATAAAGTTATATCAAAAAAATGAATTTCTTAGGTTCATTTCATGGACTAATTTTATTCAGCTCTTGATTACATTTCCTGTGTATAGAGCATGTTTCACACTTGGTAACTGACTCTCATTTAAAGAGAATGAATGGCCAAATTAAATGAATGTCCTTTTGCAGTTTTCAAGTGCATGCATTTCTGATTGGTTTTGTTTGCCTTATTCAATAGAGAGAATAATTCTTCGAGGCCAATTTCATTTTAAGAGGGTAATGTTCAGTGATTTTTCATAATTTAAAATATGAAAAATTATGCTCCCTTGTTTGTATCTGATGGAAACTCAGCTGAAATCTTGGCTTTTTTCTCTCTGACTCTGCCTACTGCTGCCCAGAATGTTTTAGACAAGTGTGCTGTGCTGAATTTTATGTAAATAAAATTTCTTTTTTAATTTTTAAAAAATGACTATTGTGTCTTTGAGAAGCAATACGAAAAAGTGGAGAGGGGGTAGAAATATATTTTAAAAGGGATTGTATTTTCCTTTGTTCACACTTACAAAGCAATGCAAGAAAGAAGAAAATCCTCAAATGATAGTTGATCCACGGCAGTACTACTATTGAGATATACCTATATATAAAATAACTGCTATATCTATATTAGTTGTTTGGAATTGAGTTAATTAGGAAGACATTTGTTTACTAATGGTAATTGACATTTTCCCACAGGTTTTGGAATGTTCATCAGGTTACAGTCTATAGTTTAAATGTATTTTCAGTTATCTAAACCTTTTATTTCTTCAGTGCAAATTTATGTTTTATGAACTCAGCAGATGTACTGACAGTATCTCAAATGATATTAAGGGACATGGTACTTAGAATGAACAGCTGTTCTGTCTCTACAGAACAAGAAGAAAGGGGTTTAGATTATAGGAGAAATTTTGGTTGGACATAAACATGGTTCCCTAATATGAGGAGCATTAAGACATAAATCTTTATAGCTGATATTTATTAAAATAGTGATGCCTAACATTTCAGTATATGGTATGTAGCTGCTTTGTATTAAGCACTTTACATATATTATCTCACTTGTATTTACCAAGTCCTTTGGAGTAGACACTATTATTTCTTCCATTTTGTAGATAAGAAACTGAGGCTCAATAGGTTAAATAACTAACTAAGGTTACATAAGTACTAAGTGCGACACCCAGGCTTTTTTTTTTTTTTAAGATTTTATTTGAGAGAGAGAGCATGTGAGTGAACACGGGGAGGGGCAGAAGGGGAGGGAGAGGGACAAGCTGAGCGCAGATCCTTTTGTGGGCGCTCAGTCCTATGACCCCAAGATCATGACCTGAGCCAAAATCAAAGAGTTGAATGCCTAACCAACTGAGCCACCCAGGCGCCCTAAGACCCAGTGTTTGAAACCAGACCATCTGACTGTAGAGCCTGTATTTTTTTTTTTCCTAATGATTATTTATTTATTTATTTATTTGACAGAGAGAGAGACACAGTGAGAGAGGGAACACAAGTGGGGGAGTGGGAGAGGGAGAAGCAGGCTTCCCGCGGAGCAGGGAGCCCGATGCGGGGCTCGATCCCAGGACCCCGGGATTGTGACCTGAGCCGAAGGCAGACGCTTAACGACTGAACCACCCGGGCACCCCTAGAGCCTGTACTTTTAACCATAGTGTAATATGAAGAGAATAAAGCAGGGCTGCCCGTTAGATGAAATAGTCACCATGGGTGGTAAGACAGTTAGGGACAGTAAGGGAGGAGTAGAAGTAGAAGCAAAGTGCTGCTCTCACAATTTGGTTAAATAAGTTGTGTAAAAAGCATGTGTCCCTGATTTTTTTCACTGGATTATGAATTCTGTAAAAGGATGATGTGGTTCATATGTGAATTGTTTATAGCAAAATTTTGTAAGTTCAGAATCCTATTGTGATAACAAACATTATACAAAAAACTCAGAATTCAGCCAGAACTACCAAGACCCGTATATGTAAAAATGGGGAAAGCGTAGAGACAGATAATTAAGGTGTAAAGAAAGCTCAGTCTTAAAAGAAATCAAATAAATGTAAATTTAAATCATAATGTGCTATAAATTTTTAGTAAATTAGCAAAAATTTATAAAATGTTAATGCCCAAAGCTGGTACTCTCATTCATTACTGATTGCATTTTAAAGTAGTATCTTAGAAGAATAAAATGGTTCAATCAGTAAGTAAATATCTCTCTTTCCTGGCACTAATTCAGTAAATATGAAAGGCACGTACTTATTTTTCTTATATATTGAGAAGCATATTTTATTGAGCTAATCTGCAATAGACAAATGCTTTGTATTAAATGTTTTTTTTAACCACAGAAGAAAATAATTAACAGCTGTTGAGCAGAAATGTTGATTCAGTGTTTTTCTTAAAATTATTAAGTATGAGGTGTATTTTAATTGCCAACCCATCTTAAACTTAAATGGCATAACAATCAGTGCTCTCATTGTTTCTTTATTATTCTGTGGTCTGAAGGAACATGTGAACTTTATATGTGAGTCTTCTGTAGTTTTGTCATTGGCTTATTAACTTGGGAACATAATTGAAGTTTGATATTCATTCATTGTGACTGACTCCCTGAGATTTTGGGGAAGTATTCTTTATATTCCAAAACACTAAGGAATGATGAAATTGCTTTTATTAAAGGTATGATTTCATAGTTTTAAAATTTAGTTTGTATTTACTTACTATATAGCCATAACTGGACAAATAACTACAGTAATACATTATTTTACAGGTATTCACAGTTTTATATGGAAGATAGCTTTTGCCATTATAACATGTTTAACCATCACTTCTTTGATGGAAAGGTAAGAATTACAACCATTATCCTTCTTATTGTGGAAGAACGAATTCCAGAGTACCTCCTCTCTTATTAGAGTCCCTCAAGATCGAATCATGGCTGTTCCACCATTTATTGATTGGCATTTTTTTTTCTTCATCTACTGAGTGTGTAACAAGCATCTAGAAGTGAACTGTGCTGTTCTTCTTTTGTGACTTTTCACTGCTCTTTGGATACAGACCCACTTTCTTACCAAGGCTCCCAGGGCTCTGCCTGATCTGACCCCTGCCACCCCCCAGTCTGTCTTGTTCCCGCTCTGGGGTTTGTGTTTGTGTTCCAGGTGTATGGCTTTCATCTGGGCCTGGCTTTGGCTTTTCTGCCAAGTGGGCTTTTACCCATGCCGTTCCCTCTGCCTTCATCTTCGTTAACTTCACCTTGTCCTTCAAAGCTCTGTTACAAGTCACCTTCTCTAGCCTCCCCTGACCCCCAGACAAGGTCAGGCTCTCCTCTGTAGCTATATGATACTATAATTAAAAAATTCTTTGGGTAGTTGTTTGATGTCTGCCTCCCTGGTAAATGTCATGTCCCAGTTAAGGGGATTTATAGTTTTATTAAACTAATTCTTAAAAATTAGACAGGGTCAAGAGGGACCCCTAATCTGTTAACTCTGGATGATAATGATGTGTCAATGTAGGTTCATTAGTTGCAGCACATGCACCACTCTGGTGGGGAGATGGTGATAATGAGGGAGGCCGTCCATGGGTAGCAGGGGGTAGCTTCTTTCAATAATACGATGTTAGTAATGTCACTGTAAATAAACAGCATAGCAGAGCTGATACTTCTCCTAGTTTGAGCTCTTTGCCAGTTGTATTACAAAATAAAAACTATACCCAACCAAGTAATCACACCTGACAGGAAGTTGGCCGCAACTGTTTGAAATGATCAAGACTACCTGAAGCACATATCCATATATGCACGTGTATGAATTTTTTAAAAAATTGTAAACCATGTATAAGTATATATTGTGTTTTAAGATGTTAATTAATGGTAGAACAAAAACCAAGCAAAACTAAAAAACTACGTATCTAGGAAATGAAAACAAATTTTAAATTGTTGGTTGGGATTGGAAAATCAGTCTCCTGGTTCAGTCTAGCCAATGATGCACTCCTTCCATGAGACTCAGTCCGCATTGAAATATATATTTTTTAGCTGTGATAGCCATGAAAACCAAGTATTGAAATAAATAGCAATTTAGAATTAGACATAGTTAGTTTTCCAAAGGGCTTATGTGGTCAATAATTTCTAGGATTTAAGAACTGATTAGATGAATGTGAAGGAGAGAGGAATTGCAAACTCACTTGACAACAGACGATGGTGGACTTCTCAGCTAGGCCAGTGGTGATGAGGGAATGAGAGAGGTGGGTTCAGTAGGCATTTCACAGATGGACACTGGAAGACTTGGTGGTAAGTGTCCTGGGGGAGAAGTCAAAGATGACTTAGTGGTCCAGCCTGGCTTTGTATTTCATTCTTCAAAACAGGGTAGGAAAGGTTGGAAGTGAAAATTGGAAATGTTGAGTTTGTGGGGCAGGTGGAATATTGATGTAGAGGTATTCAGAATGGCTTCTTGAAACTCTGGGGCCTCAAGCTCCAGGGTGTGGTCAGGGGGCAGGTGCAGTCAGGGCCGGCGTCAGAGTAGGTAAAATAACCACGTCTGTATTACTGGTGGATGCTGCAGTAGTGGGTTGGGTTTGTTTATGTGCTTGTTTTTCATACCATGACTTTGCTTTCTATCTTGAACAGTAATGTGAGATAAGAGTGAAATGATGTTTGAATACCTAACAGTTGGCTAACCGTTGTTTATATTTTAAGAATGTAACATGTAATTAGCCTTTTTCTAGAAAATTCTTTTTAACTTTTATTGAAAGCTTATGGAATTACCTTTTAAGCTTCTAAAATAATGGTTGGAATAAGCTGCCAAGACTGAGCTCCACTTTATTTTTCCCAGAAGAAAACAGTCGTCTAGCTTGGCCTTTCCTTTCTCTATATTTTAGGAGCAGCCTCTGCATAGCAATGCGACCGTAGAGATTGATCTACAGTAAACTATTGTCTTGGATGATTTTACTATCTGCCCTTTTTCTGCCTAGTTCCTGAGTCAAGGTTTTCAGTGGAGGCTTACCATCTACTTACCAATCACTGAGTATTTAAGCGTCTACCAGGCACCTATGAAGGTGTGCAGGGTGCTTTGGGGGATATAAGCTTCTGTTGAGGCCCGTAAGCAGTTCACAGCCCACTGGATTAAAAAGCAGGAGTTCCTTTTGCAGGATTTTCTCATAGAAAATCATATAGTCTTTCAGGTAATAGAAAATGTCATATGCCTTAATGATCAGGGAGGTTGAAGTATGTACAGGGCATGGTTATTTAAAGTACCAAGCACTTTTGGGGCGTCTGGGTGGCTCAGTAGGTTAAGCGTCCGCCTTTGGCTCAGATCGTGGTCCTGGGGTCCCGGGATCGAGCCCCGCATTGGCTCCCTGCTCAGTGGGGAGTCTGCTTCTCTCTCTCCCTCCCCTTATGCCCCTCCCCTGCTAGTGTGCGCACCCACACACTCTCTCAAACAAATCAGTAAATAAATCTTTAAAAAAAATAATAAAGTACCAAGGACTTTTTTCGTGATGATTGAGATGGAGGGAAGAGGTAAGGCACTGTCGACACTGGTGGCATAAGCAAGCATCTGGTTTCCACAGGTGGTCAACATCAGGACCCTCAGCAGGTCCCGACTGGACGTCACACCGTTGATTCTTACCTGGAAACAAATGTACTCTATTGGTTTTTTAATTTGGCTAAGAGTGTAGGTTTCATTTACTTGTTTATTTTCTTTTCCTACCTTTAAGTCTAAGAACTGGAAGGTTTTTCAGTAACATCATCTGTATTTTAAGTCCTTGTTCATGTAGGCAGGTTAAGGAAGTGCCAGGCAGCACTTGAAAAATGATTAACCTTCCTGACACACCATCCCTTGCTCTAGGACTTCCAGTAGGAAGTTAATAAAGACTCTCCTCGGGAAAGCGGATTAGGATGTTGTCGTTTTTCCTCTCATCAACTGAGTCTTCTAAATTGATTTAGTAGTAGAGCAATATATATTTTATTATAAAGTACATATGGGTTTATTAAAGTTTAAAATGCCATTAAACTTTAAAGTCTTAGGCTATTTTGTATACTGTGCTGATTTGCTTTTATAGGTGAGTGCTTGAAAAGGACTATAAAGTCGGTGGGACTGGAGTTAGTATTATAGGTATATCTCTTATTATCTCTTCTCCTGAAGCAGAAAATAAAAAACAGACAGTGCGTAATGTTAATTTTGCAATGACTAAAAACACTTCACTTGGTCTGTTGGGAAAAATGTGTTAATAGCCTGGTTTCATGGCCTGGCTAAGCTTTGTTATTTATGGACTTTCATTCATTTACTTACCGTGCGTGACCAAACACGTCTGTCCGGTACCTGCTGCTCAGCAACGTTTGCGAGGGTGACTGGTAATGTGTGAACTCGTGGTGGTGGACAAACCAGACAGGGAAAAAATAGGTCTTACTCGTCTTTGTGTCTCCAGTGTTTAGCTCAGTCCCCGCTTCTGTTTGTGGGATTGAATTCAGCATTTTAGATAGTCTTCATGGGTAATGAGTTTTTCTCTCTCAGGTTACTAAATTTAGTTTTTTAATTTAACCATTTGAAATGTGTAGTCCTCTGATAGTGATGGTGCTTGAATTTGCAATTTTAAAAACCCGCTTATCAAGGAACCCAAAAGATAAAATCTCTTGGGGGCTGAATGGGAGAGGCTTCAGGATGTCACTGAGGGACTCTGGGGTGGCAGGATGGGTGAAGTTTCAGTACAAACAGTGGGAGTGAGCCTAATGCATTCTCTGAATAGGATGGAGTGCCTCCCTCTAGTCCTCATTTAGAAGTGAATTTTTATTTGTTCCAGGCTGCCCTTGAAGTATGCAGAACATTTTTACAGGAAGATAAAGGTGAGGGAGTCATTATGGTGACAGATCCTCCTTTTGGTGGCTTGGTTGAACCTCTGGCTGTTACATTCAAGAAGTTAATTGCTATGTGGAAAGAAGGTCAAAGCCAAGGTGTGTAATTTATTACTTACTGCAGAATAAACATGTATCTGTGTATCTACTTCCTGTCAAATATTAGCAGAGCTCAGTGAATCAGAGCTCTGATAAAATATACATGTCTTGGGTTCTTGTGTTTTTTTTGTTTTTTTTGTTTTTTTTAAACAGGCTTATTTGAGAATGTGGCAGACTTCATTATCATGATACACTTTGTATTATCCTAATCACGTGTTCTCAAAATGACTTGTAGGTGAGCATAAGGGGACATTATGAAGAATAGCAGTAAACTGTTGTCATTTATTCCATAACTATTTACTGAGTGGCCCCTGTTGTAACAGGTACTGTTTAGATGCTAGAAATAGAGTACTGAACCAGACGGACACATATTCCTGCCCTCATGGATCTTACATTCCATGTTCCTAAAGTCTTGCGCACAGCTCTAAGAGGGTGCCCAGCCTCTGGCTCAGAGCTCTAAACTGTGCCAAGATTTAGGTAGGAAGATCGGTTATGCACTAGCCTTACAGTGGTTATCAGTGACAAATAGACACCCACATAGTAGAGGTGGGTTAGTGGCTGGGTGTTATTATTCAGCTTAAAGTGGCTTAGGCCTTCAAAATATTTTATTTAATTAATTGTGTAATTAGTTGGTACAATCTTTTTAGTTTCCAGCTTGCAAATTGATAAACTGTAAGAGTGTCAGGAATTTGTGATCGAGCTTCTCCTTTATTGTGCTACATAAATAGTGTGCTTTGGAGACAGAATGCAAAAGAAATCTAAAACATGACTTAGTGTTAAGTATTCCACTTATTTTCAGTTCTTAAGTCCACTGATCAGAATGGATAAAGTCAGTGTTACTGAGGAAGCAATGAAGAACAAATTACTTAAATCTTATGGCTTCAGTTGCCCTGTCTGTAAAATGGGATTGTTAATTAATTAGTGATATCTTTGCCTTTACCTAGAATATAGTGATTATGCGTGTAAGGATCACTTTTATATACCCTTTATACCTGCGTTTAGATGTAAAAGAATGTTTCCATTGACTTTTGGGAAAGGTCAAGTTGTAAATGGCATTCTGGTAAATGTTCTCTTCTTTTGTATGATTTAAGTGCATTGAACAATTGCAATTTCTCCCAGTATTAGAAGTATTTCAGTTACAGCTTTTATTTTTTTAAAATATCAATTTCTTATTTTCTTTTCCTTTTTTGTGGTCCATTAGATAGCAGTCACAAAGAACTACCCATATTCTGGATTTTCCCTTATTTTTTTGAATCCCGAATTCGTCAGTTTTTTCCGAGCTTCTGCATGCTGGATTACCAGGTATAGTAAATATTTTGTTTTCTGGCACAGTTGGTGGATATTCCTCTTAAATAAATACTCTGATCAGCCTGTCCATCGATTTTAGGAAATTAAACTATCATAAGCTGTATTAAACACTAAAATTGTACCATGTATTGCTTAGTCCAGAGGTTCCTAAACATAATTCTTAGGGGTGTTTATTAAAGATATAGATTCTTAGGTACCAAAATACACCTACTAAATCAAAATTAGAAGGTAGAGCCCCAAGAAAGCACATTTTACCGAGCTTCCCAGGTGACCCTGCAGCGCGGGTAGGTTTTAGACCCACTGACCTAACTGACCCCAGAGTCATTGTTATGAATAGTTTTGTCTGTTCAGAGGTTGTAGAGAAGTCAGTCGCTTTCTCTGGTCAGTGGAATGTCAAGTACACTTTACTGTACCACTCCGAGGATGCTGGCGGCTCTGAAGGGAGGTGTGTCCGGGTTGGCAGGTGGCAGAGGAGCAGAAAGGCTGAGGCCTGCGTGTGGGGGCGAGAGCGCTGATGTCCGGGTGGAGCTGACCGGCCCTCCCTCCCACCTCTGCCCTCAACTCCTGCTGCTTTAGTGTCCACTTCCTGCTATTCATTTCCTTGGGTTCTGAAGTTAAGCCCTGTCACCAGCACTGTGTGGGGCTGCCAAGTGGCCACTGCTTCCTCTTTTGTAATGACATTTTTCTGTTTGAGCTTTCTTAGCAATGGACTACCTTGATGAAGGCTTTTCAGCCCTGGAACTGAAAATGAACATGTCTTCACTGCCTGTTCCAAGCTAGCACTTGGATCTCATCTTTCTAATCTTGAAGGCATTTACTATTAGGAAAATTACCTAGAAATTCTGAAAGAAACAATGTTACCAAAAAAATGAGAGGACAAACCCCTACCTGCCATTCACCCCAAGTAGCAAATATCATAATTTGACACGTTCTACAGGTTTGTAATCATAGCAGATGAGTCCGAATTTCGCTTTCTTCACTGTCTTATGTAAGTAAGTGTACATTTTTAAATGTAGCTCCATAAGCTTTGTGCTTTTAATCACTTTATTTTTTTTTTAAGATTTTATTTATTCATTTGACAGAGAGCACAAGCAGGGGGAGGGGCAGGCAGAGGGAGAGGGAGAAGCAGGCTTCCCGCTGAGCAGGGGGCCCAATGGGAGGTTTGATCTCAGGACCCCGAGATCATGACCTGAGCCGAAGGCAGATGCTTAACCAACTGAGCCTCCCAGGCACCTGCTTTTTAATCCCTTCAAATTATTTCTTAGCAGATTATATTATCAATTGTTAGCATTGTTTTTCTTAGACACACAGGTTGCTTCCACCTTTAAGGTACTATAAGTAACACTGCCATAATCATCTCTTATTCACATAATTTTTTCCATATTTTACATAACTTCCTTAAAATAAATTTCCAAAACTGAAATAGAATTCCAAAAATTATGTTATCAGATTTAATGGACATTTTTATGGCTACTGAACCATATAACAGTTACTTTCCAAAGTTTATAGCACAAGCCATTTTAACCTTGACTTCTTGAGCTCTGCATTAGGTAAAATCCACATCATAATTCTTCCCAAATCTGGTTTACTTTCCTTTTTAGAGCACATAGTTTTCTGTTTCTTGTCTGAGGGGTACTTCTAGTATTGACATTTGCAGTGCAGAGATAGCAGACATATCCTAAAGATGTTAACTAAATAAACTATTTTCAGTTGGCAGAAGCGCTTGCTGCCTTTGACAGTGAATAATCATCTAGAACAATGTCTGGCACAGAGTAGGTGCCTTACACATGTTGAGTGAAAAATAGCGTGAACTCCGGAATTGAAAAGGAACTGGGTTTTAATCCTGGTTCTGCCACTTACTAGTTAGGCCTACACATTTTATCTAACTCTCTGCAGCTCATGTGACCTGTTAAAAGAGCAGAGTAATACTATACCTGCCTCATAAGGTTTTAGGAGTTATATGAGACAACACATGAAAAGGCTTAGCCTTGTCCCGAACACACAGCAAATGTAGACCAAAGGTTATTGCTCTCAGCACTGTCCAGACCATTCGGATAGTCCCTGGGTGCGGGTAAAACTCTTCTTCGGGGCTTTTTTTTTTTTTTTTTGTATAGTATATGAAACATAGGGTCCCTCGGAAAACTGTTCCGTGCACATTTAGAAATGAGTTTTCACTGCAGGCAAGAGTGTGAAATGGCAAGGAGGCCAAAGAAGGCAGATCCAGAGTAGAGTGGATGAGAGAGGTTCATGTGGAGAAACCAGCCATGGCTTGTTTCGACGGTCTGTGTTACTAGAAAGGAACTTGTGGAAATACTGGAGTCTCAGTTTTGAGAAATAGTTCCAAGGTCCAAGCTTATTAAAAATAATTATACAATTCAGTGTTTTGGTGAAGAAAGTTTCTAACTACGCTTTATCAGACAGGGTATCAGACAAGGTGAAAAGCAGTCTTTTTAGTAAAGAGAAAGCCAAACTTTGGGTGCCTGGGTGGCTCAGATGGTTAAGCGTCTGCCTTCGGCTCAGGTCATGATCCCAGGGTCCTGGGATCAAGTCCCACGTCAGGCTCCCTGCTCCTTGGGAGCCTACTTCTCCCTCTGCCTCTCTCTCTCTGTCTGTCTTTCATGAATAAATAAAAAAAAAAATCTTAAAAAAAAAAAAAGAGAAAGCCAAACTTTGAAAGGAAAAACTAGAATAAAATCTGTGAAACAAAACAGATATTCATTTTTCCTGATTTCTACTAAAGATAAGAACATTACTTGCCCATTGCATGCTCAGTTGGAGAAACTGATTTCACCATATCTCCTTTTGTGTTCATGAGCCTTATTTGTTGTACCTTACCTTGATGATCTTTCATGCTTTTCCTAATTTCTTTCTTTCTTTCTTTCTTGAAAGTTTCTCTGGATTTATTATTATTATTATTATTCTTTTTGAAACTTTTCCTTTTTTCCTTTTCTTTCTCTTGTTATTTTAACCTTATTTTGTAGTAATTTCTTTTTTTGTATATTAGCTGCCTTCATCAAATGAAAAATTTGAAAGTCTCTTGTCCTCCTTCACAGGTCTTTTGCCATACACCTTGATTAGACCTTCTTTCTCACATTGCCTAAGATGATTATAAGCTTCCAAACCACAATGCAGTAAAAAAAAAAACTCCAAAATCACTAAATCTCTTTTTTTGAAATACTTTTCAGGTAAGAGGGAGGCAGAAATGCCGCAGATCTTCATAAAATAGAAATTATGTAGACTCTTCAGTGATAAAGGCACTTGATGAGTACAGAATAAAACAGTCATCAGAGACCTAGGAAAGCAAGAGTTTTATTTGAGGGCAGATTAGAAAGGAAGGATGTGATAAGGAAAAGAAATTTTGACCCAGAGTCAAAAGTGTGAGTCCTAGCACACTGCCTTTTAGAGGCTCTTTAATCTTAAGAGGGAGAAGTCAGTTTATCTTTCTTGGCCTCTGTTTCCTTACGTATAAAATAAAATGATTGAATCAGGAAAGAGATGGCAGATAAGTTTCACTTTTAGTGCTTTAGTGCTAAGCCTGATAAATTGGTAGTGACTTTCTGGAGAATACCAGGTTCAGTGGCGGGGCGGGGGTGGGGGGGGGGGGGCGGTTAGTGTGTGATTGATTAGTGATGTCTGCCACAGGCCGGGTTTGGGCGTGGTAGAATTCAGGTCCTGAATTTACCATATCTGAACTAGATCTCCTCACTTTCCTTCCATCAGGAACATGCTATGATCTCTTGTTCCTACTTCATCTGGGACATTTGTGTGGATTGTTAGAAGTAGAGGCTTTTTTTTTTTTTTTAAAGCTATCCCTCAAAAAATCATCCTGTGTAGAAAACTGTTTTTTGAGGTTAGTTTCATGTTCAGAGGTGAAGATATTTTGACAGGAATTTCTGACAAGTTACAGGACGACAGCTGAAATTCTTAAACACAAACATTTAATGGGTTTGGAGTGACAAGGGCCATAATATATACATAATATACATATATATAGATATAATTTTAAATAAGAGGTAAGTGCGACATGGGGAATATGACTAAAAGACCTTTTTGCTCTGATGGCGATCTTTTGATGCACTGAAATTAAATAGAACACAATCCCGAGGGAGTTAGGAAAATACAAGTACTCTGTCTTCATCTTTGTTTCCCGACCAGATGCCTAGAACATAGTAGGTGCAAAATAAATGTCTGTTGACTTGAACATCTTGGTTTCCGTATAACTGGTTTCAGTCTCATGTCACAGAAGAAATTTGCGTATAGATAAAATTAAAAGTTAAGAATTGCAGAGATTCTTTGCTTTCCCTCATTTCTATACAGTACTTCATCACATTAATCAGTTCCATGGGAGAAATTTTCTATTTGAAAATGCCTCTCATCATCATTGTGAGTGAAATGTCAGAGATAATGATGGGAAAATGGTGTATCAGCTCTACTACTAGTGATAGGCAATTTGCAAAATTGTGTTTGCTTTACAGCACTTCCATAGGACATTTGTTTGTGTGGATGAAGCTATGAAATATGGATGTATGTTAGAGGTACATTAATTTACCCTAGCAGCATGCGTTTTACATACCATATGTTTATAGTTAATTAGCACAACAAACCCGCATTTAAAAATAATAATAATCTCAATTAGGTTATGCAAAATCAAGCAATCAACCACCTTTCTGACACATACGTTCTCTGACTCCTTGGGTAACCATAAAGAGATTGTTCTTTCTTTCCTTCTCTTCCATCTGCTATCTATTGTATTGCATGGAATATTCCATTTACTAGAAATCTTCCTAAGGCCCTCTTTTCCAACATTTGAAGATCTTTGAAAGGTTCTCTTGGGAAGAATTTTTTTTTCTTGTGACACTCACATGTTCAAAATATCTTTGTTGAATTTAATAAAGTGTCATATATTTATAAATTACATAGAGGAGTGCATGAGGGAAAAATTATGAATTTAAATCATTTTTAAAAAACTACTTAATGGTACTATTTTAAGGTGATTTTGAAGTAAAATCTGCTTTTGTATCTTAGCCTCTAACAGGTGACATATATTCATAGAATTTTAAAGTTGGAAAGAACCATGAGGGGTGTACCGTAGGCTAACTTCCCACTGTAATAATCCTCTCTGCTAAATTCATGACAAGCTGTCACCCAGCCTCACTTGAATGCTTTCAACGAGCAAAGTCCTGCAGCCTTACAAGGCAACTCAATTTATTTAATAGCTCTAATCGTTGGAAAATTTTCTCATATTGAGATAAAATATGCTCCCTATTAACTTCTAACCATTGGTCCTCCTTCTGTTCTCCAAAGCAATAAAGGCTAAGTCTCATTTCGATTCCACTGACACCCCTTCAGTTATAAAGTAGCTATCAGATCCTCCTAGTTTGCACTTTTCTGAATAAATTCCCCCAAAATGTTAAACGTCAAATCCTCTTTATTCCCATTACTTTTGGTGGAAACGAACTGGTTTTATCAGGGTCTCCCTTCAAATGCAGTGACTGAATGCAGGGCTTCACATGTGATCTGACCTCATCCTTTGCTTGTTATGTTATCACTCTTCCATAAGGGCGGCCGTGAGCCCATGCCAGCTTTAGTACAGTTAGCCAGACTGTGGACTCACCCTGCTGACAGTTAACCAGAACCCCCAGGTTTGGTTTGGTTTGGTTTGTCCACACTGTCCCTTGTCTAGCTGGGCCTCCTTGTATGGCACTTACTTTTCCCCCCACTGCTAAAGCTTATTGATCAGTCTTCCTGAACTCGTTCACCTGTTAAAGTGGTAGCCGTGGGCAGGGCCGTATGGAGAGCTTAGGAATTTCTCATTAAAGCCCTCTCTTTCCATTGTCAGTAAGTCCTTACATTTTTGTGCTTTGTTTATTAAATAGAGCTAGCTTGCGAGCCAGTTCTTTTGAAAAATTCTTAAGCGTATTCTTGTTTAGCATCTAAATAGTTCATTATAACGTATTTGAAAGTTGGGTTCTACCTTTACTGACTTCATCAAAATCTCACCGTATTCTTGTGGATAATCTAGAACAATGGTTCTCAAACTTTAGTGTGCCAGGAGGGCTTGTTAAGAATACAGATTGCGGGGCCTGACCCCCAGTCTGTATTATGAGGTCCTTTGGTGGGGCGATAATGTGCTTTTCTAACAAGATCTCAGGGGCGACGCTGATGTTGCTGATCCAGTACCTGCACTTGGAGAATTAGTGTTCTAAAGAAAGATGGACTTAGTGACCAGGCGGATTCAGAGCAGGCTTAAAACCAAAGTGAGAACGTGTGTGGATAGCAGAGAGGTTGGAGAAGGAGACGAGAGCAAGAAGCTAATAGACATTGAGCCTGTTAGCTCCAGCTTCCTTTCAGGATGATCTGCCAAGGCTGAAAGCTGAGGTAGGGGTCTTGAGGAGAGGAGAGGTCAGTGTCCGAAATAGTCACAACTGTTGCTGTGAAGCTCTCCCTTCATCTGCATCTTTCTGTCTCTACCGTATGCCAGGCCCTGAACTGGGCATTGTACACACATTGTCTCACGTAACCTTCCCAGATCTCTGAGGCAGGGCTCAGTAACCTCCATTTCCAGGTGAGAATTATGTAAATTTGCCTCACGGCGCAACAGGTGAGTGGCAGAGCCTCTCTGGTCCCCAACCCTGTGCTCGGCCAGGACGTGAGGGGTCAAATGGTGAATGGTGGGGGGTGTCAGAGTAAGGCTGTACTGAGACTCAGTGACCTGCAAACTGACAAGTAGCCCATCTCACACACAAAAATGAAAAGCCCCCACCGAGGCATGACACATCTTCAAGGGTGGAATTCTTTAGCGTCAAAAGCCGAACTTGTAATTCCATAATAGGCCTTCTTTGTGAAGTCTGTTGTATTGGATAAAAGATTATAGTTGTTCTCTTAAGACCAGGCAATATGAATTTATAACAAAGTTTACCTTTTTTATAATGAAATTTCACTGCTATGGAGGCCTCTCTGTTGATTAATAAGTAAACTCTTGCTCTTAAGAATTTCTTTTTAAATACTTTGGTTTAATTCCTCTCTTGGCATCAGCTTGTTCTTTATTGGTTAAAGAATCTTCATAGATGTTTTACTCCTTTGAGTAAATTTTCTTTTTCAATTTTTTAAACTTTCTAGGTAGATTATGACAATCATGCACTTTATAAACACGGGAAGACAGGTCGAAAACAGTCTCCTGTGCGTATTTTCACCAATATTCCACCCAACAAAATAATCCTTCCTAGCGAAGAAGGGTACAGGTAAGATCCTAGTGGGGTTCCATATATCCAACAGGAAAATGCTTTTAATATCGACTCATATAGTTCTCCTGCTACCTTTAAATTTGGTCTCTAATTTTGAATTGAATTTGGATTACACTCCATTTTTATAACAAGTGACATTTATCTGCTCTGTGAATCTTCTTGAAAATATGCAGCTGATTTAAGTCTTTCTTTCCTCCTTAGATTTTGCCCTCTGTGTCAACGATATGTTTCCCTAGAGAATCAACACTGTGAGCACTGTAATTCTTGTACCTCCAAGGTATAGTTTCTACAGAATGCATTTTTATTCATATATATTCATTTTATTTTAGCTTACTTGTTTCATTACATTTGCTTAATGTTATTTTTTTAAGAGATTTTTTTTATTTGAGAGAGGGAGAGCACGCACGCAAGCTGGGGGGAGGGGCAGAGGGAGAGGCGGACTCCCCACTAAGCAGGGAGCCTGAAGCGGAGCTCAGTCCCAGGACTCGGGGATCATGACCCGAGCTGAAGGCAGATGCTTAACCGACTGAGCCACCCAGGAACCCCTAAATTCACTTTTATGTGAGGTACTGTATGACTGCTAAAATCAGGAATATTTCAAATAAGGCATGAGGTGAGTGCTAACCTTTGTTGAGGGTAAAATTAAGATGTTTCCAATAAGGAACTGAACTATGAGATACCGTCCCTATTGTGATGAAATAATAAAGAACATATACTGTGCACTTTTTATGTGCCAGAACCTTCCCTAAGGGCTGTACATGGATTAACTGAGTCACTCTGCACAAAGCCCTAGTAGATAAGTACTCTCCAGTTTTTACAGGTCAGGAAGGACAGGGACATACCTCCTACTTATTGTTTTAAGGAGGTGGGATGACCCGTACGGTGGCCTATTTATTTTAACTAAATCCAGTCAGAAAGAACAGGTGAAGTTTAGTTTGGCTAATACGCACAAATGATTCTCCAAAGGAAAGGCTGTATTTTAATAACTATCATAAGGTACATTTTGCATAACTTTACAATTTTATTATTGGTTATACTTGTTTTTAACTGTGGTAGTACATCTGATTACGTGTATTTTCAATCAGCTTAGATATTATCTGTGTTCTTTATTTAAAAAAAATTATGCCCAGGTCATCGTTATAAAGCTCAAAATGAGGAAAACAAAACTTTATTATTTACCACATAAGTGGTAAAAATAAACAAAAGCAAGGAAGTGACGATCACAGAAACCAGAGTAGGTGTTACTTGGTGGGGAAGAGGAATGCTGGATTGGGAAGGGCTACCCGCAGGAGCGTCTAGGGGCCTGACAGTGTGCTCTTGACCTGCTGGGATTCATCAGTGTGTACTTTATAAGACCCATTAAACTGGACATGTAAGTAAGTGTCTTATATACTTTTCTAGGTAGTTTTATTTCACAGATTTAACATTATCCAAACAGTATCCTATAATCTGTATCTTTTTAAATTATATAAAGTTCTCAAATATGAATTTCATTAAGGATTATGCTGCACAGACAAGTAAAAGTTATGAATCATTAATTCTCTTGAAATTTTCATCAAGTCCTTCTTTGTGCCGATTGGGTTGCTTGAACTGGAGTGGACGTTCAAGATCATGTAGATAAATCCCCTAGTTTTCCAGTTAAGGAAATTGGGGCCCATCAAGGAGGCATTTGAGTTGAGTGGAGAAATGCATAGATTAAAATCAAAGTATTTAATTGTGAAGCCTAGGAAAGTGAGAAGTAAGGAATGAATAATTTACACAGATTTTAATAAGACATTTTAATTTTTAATTGTAGAACTTGATTTTTAATGATACATTAAACATGATTTAAAAATTCTTTTTGTAGGATGGCAGGAAATGGAACCATTGCTTTCTCTGCAAAAAGTGTGTAAAACCTTGTAAGTATTTAGACTCAGTGTTTGAGATCCTATGCAAACATTTCAGAGTTTTTCTTCACCTAAATGGGATTTTTATTTAATTGTATTTATGAGAGAAAAAAAATTAATATAAAGACCTGCATTGATTTACTTGCTTTTTAATTTTGGCAGTTACCAAAATACACACTCTCTCTTTCACAGGGAGACATGACTTTGTAACCTGTTCCAGTGTGGAATTTGGTTTGGCTCATTTTTTTAGGGCTTTGTGTCACTCAGCCAGACCCCACTGTGTCAGTGGGGCTCTCTGCTCATGACTCATTGAAGAAGGGCTGCATTGGTTGCCATGTATCAGAAAGAAGTTAGTTGCTTTATGTGGGATTCCAACCTCTTAACCTTGGCGTCTTTAGCCAAATTATAACCAGCTATGCAGACCAGTCACAATATTTGAAGTAAACACTATTCATGCTTCCCTGTCATAAAGGTTGATCAAATGAAAAATTGTATTAAATGAACTTCTTCTAAAACTTAATTTTTATTTTATAGCCTGGATCCACTGTAGCATTTGTAGTCACTGTGCTCTTCCAGATCATTCTTGCGGGGGCCCTAAAGATGGCTGCTTTATTTGTGGTGAATTAGACCACAAACGTAGTACTTGTCCTAAGATCGCTGCATCTAAGAAAGTGAACAAGTAAGTTGAATTCTTTTATTGCCTAGAAGAAATTTTCCTTGTGTGTCCTCCACAAAAGTATACAATAGAGGATTCAGAAGTGCTGAATTATTTGCTGTTTTTACTGTTACTTACTGTTTCCATAGATGGGGGGGTGGGAGGGCACGAAGATGAGTGAAAGAGCTTAACATTTTACAGGTAAGACATGAAAATCACCAAAGTAGAAGGTAGAAACTGATTAACTTTTTATCTCCTGTGGTTCATGTGAAATTATAATTTGTGGGGAGAGAGTCCAGCCTCTATTGACAGACATGATATTTAAGTCAGGACAGATCAGATGCAGACATGTGACAGCAGGCGAGGCTGGAGAAGGCATTTCAGTTGGAATGTAGTGTGTAGTCCCACAGTGAACACTTCGGAAAATGAAGTTATCTCTTTCAATTATATCAGACCTTCTAAGAAACATTGACTATTTAAATATGTAAAATTTTAATTTTTACTCTTTTTTTCTATGCTTATTTTCACCTCTTCCACCAATATTTGGTGTTGGTTATCACTCAGAACAAAGTTATACCAATGACAACAGCATATTTAGAAAAACCATTGCTATTTCAGCTGGGCTCGTGAATGATTACGCTTAAAAAAAAACAACTAAAAGGGATGATAGTTGAGACTTCTTGTTTTATTGTTATGAAAACCAGATAGCCAGATTTAACATTATGTGAGAATTGGGATCAGCATAAAATTTTTGAGCTATCTTATAACTTGTGATAAAAATAATTTCTTAGTATTAGAAATATCTGATGTTACTGTAACTATTTATGATTGTATTAGAATTCTTTTCCATTTGTTCATTTTTTTTTTTTTTGGTCAGTGGCAGTTAGTTTTTCCCATTAAGGCCCAGCCATTTGAATTCTACCTACTGTTTTATTTTTCCATTACTTTTCATCAAATTTACTTTAAACAATTATTTCCACTAAGTAATCCAGGGTAGAAATGGAAGTTTCTAAATTAAGAAGTGTATTGAAGAATCTTATAAGAGATTTTTTCTTAGAAACCTTTAAGAATAGGGGCGCCCGGGTGGCTCAGTCGTTAAGCATCTGCCTTCGGCTCGGGTCATGATCTCAGGGTCCTGGGGTCGAGCCCCGCATCGGGCTCCCTGCTCTGCAGGAAGCCTGCTTCTCCCTCTCCCGCTCCCCCTGCTTGTGTTTCCTCTCTAGCTGTGTCTGTCTCTGTCAAATAAATAAATAAAATCTTAAAAAAAAAAAGAAACCTTTAAGAATAGAGGACCACCTAATAAGCTATTAGTCTGGGATTATTGCACCAGGTACAGGGTAATTCTGGTTGCAAACAGAGTTAGTGACATGCTCAGACTTTTAGTCTGTGATCTTATGATACAGGGAAACTGAATTTGTATTTTGGTAATGTATTGTAGGCTCTTTGTTGGTCCTCCATAGCCTGGGCTAGTTGGCTTCGTGGTATTCTATTGTTTTCATTGAAGGAAACCATTTAGTATCTTTCAGTATTAGATTTTATCAAGTTTAATTCAAGGAGCAAATCCATTAGGATGCAGTATACCTGAAAAATCTTAAATAGTATTACTTTTTTCTCTCAGAAAAGACTCCTAAACTCCTGTGAACAGTTACCTTCAGGTATTGCTTTCAAAAAATTTTCCTAATGAAATTGACAAGGCAAAATGTTTTTTTCTTTACAATAGTAAAAAATAATTCTAATCATCTTTTTAGCATATGTGGCATAAAAGATATCTCATAGCTGTCTTACATTAACTTGTTTTTCTTGAGTTTAATTTGTCTTTTCTCCTGAACTGGAATGGTGCTGGCTCCCTCTTGTGGTTAATCATTTTTATCAGTACATAAATACCTATAATTTAGAGGACAAACACTAGGTCAGTTCAATTTTAAGGCAAAACAAAACAATGAATTGATTTATACTCAGGCAGTTCAATTTATACTCCGTTGACAGACTTTATCTCTGGAAAGTTTGTTTATTCATATTAAAATGAATATTTTCTTTTGCTTTTGTTTACATATCCACTAGTGAGGTCTGGTTCATGTTTAGTTCTTAAAAGTGGAAAAGCCAAAGAAAACGTGTTTAAATTTTGTATACATACACAGCTTCATTGACTGTGCCATCAAGAGATTCTACTTCATTAAACTTGCTAAGTCATCACTTACCAGGACATTAGCCTTCTTAAAATAATGGCTGGAGGGAAAGGAGATTTACGTAACATACACAGAAGAGTATAAAGATGGCTGTGGTATTTGTTTTATTTTTGAACTGATAGTCTATAATCCAAAATCTAAATATGGAAAAAGGGAAAGTTGTCAAGCAAAATTCTGAAGAATAGTCATGTGGTGCCCCTAATAATAGCTAATATTTGTTTAGTGATTACAATATGCTTAGCACATTATATATCTGGATAATTTATAGCAGACTATATAGTATCAAGGTAATTAAGAGCACAGGTTCTAGAATCAAGCTGGTTCTGCTACTTCCTCATTGGAGGATTTCATAGCCTCAGTTTCTTCCCCAGAAAGAGAGTTGGGGGAAGGAAAATGAAAGGTGACATCTGCCTTGTCTCGGTCTCCCAGATCGTTGGGGTCAAAGATGATGCCCACTCATTTTTGTATTTCCAACACTTGCTGTGTATGTTGTGTGAACCAAAAGTGAGGCCAGAGTTTGCTCCGTGGAGGGATTATATTCTGCTTATGAATTGCAGATTTGGGTCCTGGAAAGATAAAGAGTAAGCTTTTCCCCAGGACTTGGGGTTTGGGAGAAGTGAATCTATGATATCGCCAGTTACCCGTGGGGATTTTCCAGGTTTGCTGGTGCTGGCAGCCCCAGCCCTTTCCTCGGCGTGCCGTATGATAAACTGCACGATTCTGCCGGCGCGGAGAAAGTGAACGAACAGACCAGTAATCTTTCTCAGTTGTAGATCGTCTGTAACTTAGTTCAGAGAGCACCAAAAGCTAAGGATCTGTGTTGTCCTGGTGTGGTTTAGTGTCTTCAGAGTGTGAGTTCCAGCTCGTTCATTGTGAAGCTAGGCTTTCAAGAAGACAAAGACCACAAAATGTGGACATCCTGTGTGGCACCTGTCCAGGCTTTTAGACCCACTGAGGAAAGGAAAGGAAAATTAGTTTAGGGCTTATAAGATGGGCCTCTGTAAGTGTTGTCCATTTGTGCATTGTGCTATTTCATATCTCTGCCTCTGCTAACTGCCAAATGTATTGGTCCTTTTCCTGAAAAACGTCATTCCAGGATTTGGAGACCGAAGTGCTGAGCTGAGCCGTACAGATGCACTGAAACCAAAACAATAGCAAGGAAACCTCCTAACTCACGGGCTTTCCTATTTTTAAAATTTAATATATATCCCAAATGTTATTTGACCACACAATCAACATAAAAATTATTGCCAAGATACTTTGCATTCTTTCTTCAACATCTGGTGTGCATTTTACATTTAGAGCACTTCTAACTCGCTCTCACCACATCCCAGGTGCTCTGTTGCCACACACTGGCTAGAGGCTACCGTATGGTTCAGCACAGCAGTGGTTTTTCCTGGCTTGACTCTTTACCTCTGTGGTGGGTTTGTCCCAAATAAATCTGTAGTAACCGTCTTTCAAAGAAATATCTTTACTCAAGCATTTTGCTTAGTCAGGCCTCTCACTGTCTCCTTGTTATTATGGTTAGGATCTTGAGGATTTATGCTTATGATACAGTAAATTCTTTTCCTTCTGTTTTCTTATTTGGTCAGCTGGTTAATTAAATTCCAACATAATTACATAATTCACTATGCTTATTCTACAAAATAATTTAGCACCTTGTTTTTCAGAGCTGTCAGAAAGCAGAAGCAAAGAAAAAGTAATAAGATGAAAATGGGGACCACTAAAGGACAATCCATGAATCATACATCTGTTACAAGGAAGAAGAACAGGAGAGAAAGAGCCCATCAATATCTTTGCTCTTAAATGTCCAGTGACTTGAGAATAAGAAAGATTTATAGTCCAACCTTTGATGCCATTTTCTGAAAGTGCCACACTGGACTTAAATTCTGTCGCTTTCAAAGGTATGCACCTTTCTAAGGCAGATAATAGGCAGGTGGTATTTGCTGGTTTATGGACCCTTCTCCAGCCTCTCTGGGGACCTGGGGAGGTGTTGCATCCTGAACTGGTTGACCAGATCTCTCTGTGTGCCTTTTTTTCTCTCTTTAAATCTCACCCAATCATATGATTTTGGCCTCTTTTGAAAAATGGGCAAGCGTGTTCTTTTGCAGAAAGTGTCAGAAGAAAAATGAAAGTGAAAACTTGAGGTCTTGTTTACATTGAACGCGAATATGTTAAATTAGGTCCAGAAATGTTTTAAGTTAAATATCAGAACATTGTGTGATGACGTAAACCCCACTTGCAAAGAAAAGTACAATGAACAATTATTATTTTTTTTTAAAGATTTTATTTGAGAGAGAGAGAGTGAGAAAGAGATTGAGCACAAAGGGGGCAGGGTCAGAGGGAGAAGCAGACCCCATGCCAAGCAGGGAGCCCGATGCGGGAGTTGATCCCGGGACTCCGGGATCATGACCCGAGCCAAAGGCAGTTGCTTAACCAACTGAGCCACCCAGGCGCCCCTGAACAATTATTTTTAGACAAAGATAATGGGAAGAGTTTTGACAAAGCTAAAGATATAAAGATTATAGTTATGATTTTATTACTAAATATTTGTTTCTCAAGTACTTTTTACAGTGTCCTTTGATGTAATGGAGTCATTTAAATGTTGTAGGATGAATGAGACATTGAGAGTTATGACTTGCTGTGTCATCTCAGTGTCTTTTAACCTAAGCAGTAAGGTTATTTCTTTGTAAAAGTAATAGCAGAAGGCAGGAGAGTTTGGGGATTAAAACCTCTCATCCCTATTGGGACGAACCCTTCCTGACTCTGTCCTCGACCAGGTCATTCACTCGCAGCCTGTTTCTTTGTTATTATGTAATTATTTTATTATATAACAGTAGTTATACTACAGGCTTGTTTTCGGGGTGACGTTAAATGAGGCACATGCGCCTGGCTCTCAGTTGTGTTGGTGAGAAATGTTAACAAATGTTAACCAGCAGATAGCTGGAGCCCTCATGGTAATCATCTGGTGGTCCAGGATCATAGCAGGGAAGGGACTGGGCTTGAACTCTGAGAACAAACAGTTCGTCTCCCCATTTCTCTGCTAGGTACCTGACATGATCGCCTTCAGATTGCATACTTTTGAATTGCTTGCATTTGCATAATGACTTTTCTCTTATTCCCAAACAGCTGCTTTAGAGCAGGTTTGGAGGCATGCTTGCTTGGGCTTAGCTAGAGCCCTGGGAGTGAGGGTACAAGAGCTGCCCCCCATCTGGCCTGGAAATTCTGTCTGGTCTTAAAGTTAGGACTGTTTGATGCTTGATGTGGAAGGCACAAGCGTGGCCCTGATCAGTGGATAGGGGCGTATATCTGGCGGCATCAAAAGATGAGCTAAGCCCCCTGGACTTAACAAGCATCAGAAAACCCTTCCCTTGCCCCCTTTTCCACGTGGGTTGCTATGGTGATCAGAGGGATGGATTCAGAGGTGACTGGGTGAGATATGAACCTTTTGCAGAATCATTGTGAGTGTTCCCCCCACCCCCGATTCAGCCACAGGCCTAGACTTTACCTGACTTTCATGTTGTCCCCCAAAACCATGGTAAAATCTCTTGAAATCTCCCCTGAAACTCAGACACCTGAGGGACCATGATTCCTGAAGAACTGGGTCCTGCTGGCCAGGGGTTATCATCACCCCATTTCCTGAGTTCTAAGGTACCGTCAATTGTAAAATGCACTGTTGATGTGATTGTAGCCTTTCAGGGGGAGGAACCCCATAGCTCATTAATTTTGTGTATTAAATTTTAGGGGTATCCTGTTTTCAGAAATACTGAAATGTGAAAAAAAAGTACACCTTAGAATTGAAATAGGGTATTACTTATAATCAGGAATTATGTACTTTAAAACTTTAACTGCTTAGGAAGTTAAAAATAAGAGACTTGGTGATTCTGGGGCCCCCTGGGTGGCTCAGTTGGTTAAGCGTCTAGCTCTTGATTTCGGCTCAGGTCATGATGTCAGGGTTGTGAGATTGAGCCCCATGTTCGGCTCTGCATTCAGCAGGCAGTCAGCTTGAGCTTCTCTACCTCTTCTCCTACCCACCCCCCACCCCGCTGCCAATCAGTAAATCTTAAAAAAAAAAAAAGAAATTTGGTGATTCTGTTCTTTGTTCAATTAATACTAATTTTAAGGATTTTCTTTTCTCAGGGCGTAAACTAATAGGATGTAAAAATGTCTCTGGGGGGTAAAGTGGGATGGGAGATGAAGTCATTTGTTCTAATTAGAAATCTGCATATCTGAACATTAAGATACCTACTCAAAACAGTAATAGAGGAAAATCCCTAAATTTGACACATAAAACTTTCTAAGCTTTTTAAAAGGATGTTTTTCTTAAATTATTACAGCTAAATTTCATTGCCCTTCTTGCTTATGTTACAAAATTTAAGGAAATCCAGAGTTACTTTGTAGGCCCTGAATGATCAGATTTCAGGTTTTTCTTACATTTAGTTTGATATTTAGACTAATTTATTTCTTCAGTATGCCCCACTGTTTTCATCTCACCCTCTTCTTTCTGTTTGGAGTGTTTCCCTCCATATGCCATGTATTAAAGTCTTAGGGAGCCTTCAGGCCCTGGCCCAAGTCCCACTCTCTTTGGGAAGGCTTGCCTGAGTCCCCGCTACCAGCCGGTACCTTCCTCTCTGAAGCCTGGGTGTTCGGCAACCACATTTGAGGCACTTTTCATGTATTATTCTGTGATTAGATTTACAGTTCTACTTCCCCCAAAGATTTCAGTTTCTTAATGTCAGTACCCATTTTATACCATCTTATATCTCTCATGCATTATAGGTGCTCAATAAAAATTTGATGAAAGCATGGAATTTTCTAGAAGTTTCCAGATGGTGGGTGCATTAGTTTTAGGGCTGCCATAACAAAATATCAGAGACTGGCGGCTTAAATAACAATAATTTATTTTCTCCCAGTCCTGGAGGCTGGAAGTCCAAGATCAAGGTATTGGCAAGTTTGGATCTTCTGCTGCCTCTCTCCTTAGCTTACTACCTTCTCACTCTTCCCATGGTGTTTCTTCTGTGTGTATGATTCCCCGGTATCTCTTGTATCCAAATTTCCTCTTCTTATAAGGATACTAGTCAGATTGGATTAGGGCCCACTCAGTGGCCTTATTTTACCTTAATTTCCATTTTAAAGGCCCATCTCCAAATTCAGTGCCATTCTGAAGTACTGGGGGCTAGGGCCTCAGCATTTGGATTTAGAGGATATGAGTCAATTCTTAACAGTAGGCATGCCTAAGATATGGAGAGGACTTGGTCTTTGCTCTTTCTTGTATTTATTTTTCATTTTTATTCATTTATTTTTGTTAAGTATGTGGGGCTTGAACTCATGACCCCTAGATCAAGAACTGAGCTGAGATCAAGAGCCGGATCAAGATCGACCGACTGAGCCACCCAGGCTCCCCTTGGTCTTTTCTCTTTCCTATAAGGACCGAAGAAAGGAAGACAGACCTAAACAATATTGGCAGGTATTTAGAGTCAGTAGGAAGACTGTCTTGATACTGAGGGTTTAGATGTGTGTTTAAGGTTGCGATGTGCTCTGTGAGCAAGATTGACAGCCTTTAAGCTTAGAATAATTCAGCTTCCAAAGTTATTTTAAGAAAAACACTTAGGTTGATGTCTGGTCCCTTCAAAGTCATCTACAAAATACTAGGCATCTAGGAGAAGTTTGACTAATTTTTAAAGTAAAATCACAGCCCACAAAAGGTCCTGATGTGATGCTATCTCCTTCACAATGTCCTTGTTGGTGTCTCCACTGGAATAGTATATATCTTGCCAGTGAAATAAAAATATGTGTGTTTGTGTCTTTTCATTTCTTCTTCTTTAAGGTACGTATGCTCTGTATTAGATCGACTTTTTTGTGCTTATTTCCCCTGTACAGATTAGAAGCTCATTGGTAGCAGGGGCCTGCGGACACTGTGGTATGTGTTCTCTAGCTCCTAGAGCTGTGCATTGCACACAGTGACGTCCGAGACAACCAACTGCTGCCCACGTGACTTCACCGATTCCCCCCCCAATGACCCCAGGAAGCAGGTGGCCAGGTTGACACATTTCCTCGCCCACCAGGTGGTAGCTGCTCGTAAATCGGGACTGAGTGAAGAGAAATGCCATGTCATATACTGCTTGAGGTCTCAAAACCTTAACTGTGCCACATGAGGACGAAGCTAATACGCTTAGAGCTGCCTAGGTAAGGAAAGCTTGCCCAGACTGCAAAGGAAAATCCAATTTCACTTATTTGATGGGATTTTAATTGGAACATTAGGACAGGGGTCACGTTAGTCGAGGGTCGGCCAAGGTCATTGCAATCAAGTGCAGATAAGATCTTGACAATTTGATTTCAGGCGGTTTAGTATAAATGTTAACTCAGCAAGAGGGAAAGCAGCACCCAGCGTGAGCAAGCATATCTCAGAGCTCTGAGGGATGAGTTTTATCCCGTTAGCTGGACGGTCACAAGATTCTCACACTATTTAGTTGCTTAGTACCACTGCAGATAGAAGCGTAATAGCTGCTGGTCTTTAAGAAACTGAGCCTGAGGAGATGGGCCAGTTTCTTCACCTGTGAATGTAGGGGCGAGGAGTGGGAGAAATCAGACTTAAATCAATCTCTTATGGTTGGACATCTAAGTTGTTTGCATTTTTTCACTCTCGTAAACAACCTCAGAGCAGAGGTAATGAGGAAGTATGAAGGGGAAGGGAGGGAAAGCAGACCAGAGGAAAGGAGTTGAGTGAGGACTATGTTCAGGTGGAGGTGTGTGCACATCTGTGATGACCAACAGGCACCTGGAATGGCAGGTTCGAAAGGGAAAAGTCGGAGCCTGAGCAAAGATGTGGGAATCACTGTATACAAGAATGGGAGATGGAACTATGTGGGATGTGACTAATCTAGGCCATGTGAGAGGCTGTTATTGTGAGAGGTCTATTTATGACCAAATCTTTTGTTTCCTTAGGATAAATTTCTAGACATATGAATACTGGGTCTGCAGCTCTTACTAGAACCTCTTTCTTCGGATTGGAATTTCATCAGTTGGTCTCTGAATTTCTTTTGCAGAGACAAAACAAAACACCCCAAATTTAGACTCTCTGCCAGGAGGGACCATCTCCCAAATGCCTTTTGTACTTAAAACTTGGGTAATTGTGATTGATTGTCCTATTGAACAGTGTTGATTGGTTGCATCAGCAGGATCTTTCCCATCCTCTCCATCATGTGCCTGCCGTGGGGTTTGGGAGAGAGATGACTGCAATCCTCTCCAGCTCTTGGGGAGGACTTTTAATTGGGGATAATTCCATACCCTTTACCTGTGACTCATTTCAGGTAGGCTCATGATAGGG